GGCAACGCTCCCCTCGGGGGGGGGGGGGGGGAAGCGGAGGAGGGCGGGGCGTGTGGCGGTCGCCGAGTCGGAGTGCCTCCTCTCCGTCAAAGATGCGCCTAAGGAAAGGTCCGGGAAACTTCTCAACACGCACGAGGTGGTGGGGCAAGGGCCAGGGCAGCCCCCTCGCGACTCCCCGTCTAGAGGACAGGAGCTAGCACGGCATTCAAAGTGCAAGGCCCGGTGCGCGTGGGTGAGGTGTGTGAGAGTGTGAGTGAGGCGCACCTAAAGCAGAGGGCTGCGAGTCGACGCGGTGAGAAGATGTCAGCAGCGCCTCGCCGGCAACAGGTGCGCCCTGTCATGATCAGCTCCGTCGCCACGTCCTGCGGCGGCGGCCAGAGGCCGAGAGATGGGGGAGGTGCCTCGGAGACTGGGAGGTGCCAAGGGGAGCGGCGGCGGCGAGAGGGAGTCTGGGGAGGAGGTGGGGGAGGGAGGGCCCCCCCGGTGGTCGCGGAGAGGCGGCGCTGCCACACTCACACTCAGACTCACTCACACTCACTTGAGAGCGGCGGTGCACCCACACTCGCAGGCACTTGAGAGATCGCGTCTCAGATTGACACCAGGCCAGAATGCAGCTGTGAAGAGGGCAGTTTGTCACGCCCGCACAGCAGGGCTCGGCGCTCGCGCCTTTGGCACCAGCTCCGGTAGGACGACTGTCGCGCCCATGTCGGGGATGATGCCCCACTTGGCCTCCATCAGGGAGAACTTGCACCCCGGCGTCGCGATGCGCATGTCTGCGGCGGCGGCGGGGGAGGCGGCGGCGGAGGCCGAGGGAGGCGGCGGTGGCGGGGAGGGAGGCGAGGGACGTGTCGGAGGCAGAGGAGGGGCGAGGCGGCGGCCGCGAGGACGGTGGTGGTGAGGGGTGAGGGGCGGGGCTTGCGGAGGCGGGCTGGGAGGGAAGGCGGCGGAGGGAGAACACGAGGAGAAGCGAGGGCGGATCGTGGCGACCTGCGCCGAGTGCAATCTGGAAGCCGCCGCCAAGGCAAACACCTATGCACGGCCGAGTCCCGAGGGTTGCAGTCAGGAGACGAGGGGCGTCAGTGCCCCCCCCTCCACCCGCGTCCGCGGCGCCGTGGGTCGCCGCGATGACGGGAGCGGGCACTCGCCGCCACAGGTAGCACACGTCCTGCGCCAAGTTTGAGATGGCACCGTCGGGGCGGTCCAGCAGCTCCCGGCCGTTGGCTCGCGCATGCAGAGGGTGGTTGATGCTCTTGACGTCGAGGCCGGCGCAAAAGGCTCGGCCCGACCCGTGGACAACGACCGCGCGCACGCCTTTGTCCTCCGCCAGCTCAACGGCCGCTGAGCGGATGGCGCGGAACATGTCAATGTCGAGCGAGTTGAGCTTCTCCGGCCGGCCAAGTGTCACCGTCGCGACGCCGTCGGCGGCGCGCTCGATGGAAACGCGTGGAGCCGAGCTGCTCGAGGACGCAAAGGTGCGGGTAAAGGTGCGGGTAAGGTCGCGTGCGGGCCGTCGGAGCATGTGTGTATCTTTCGCTCGTGCGTGGTGGACGCCTCTCGTCGTTGGGCCTGCGGAAGGAGGGGCGAAGCGAGGCCGGTAGCGGGGAGCGCTCGAGAGTGTTTATACTGCGTGGAGGAGGCGGAGACGCGTCGCGTGATCGCGATTGAACTAGGGGCAGTTTGGGCACCGATCCGATGTTGCTGTCGGGGGCTAGCGGGCGGCTTGGCAGGGCTGCGCGCGAGTTTTTCTTCTTTCTACAAAATCAGATCGTCACAAAACGACTACGCCGCTCCCCGTGTTTGTAGCCTGGCGTTTGTGCCGGAAAACGCATCTCTCTCTCTCTCTAACCGCAACAAACAAAAAGAAAAATAGAATGTTTTTCTTACTTCTTGGCATTACAAGGGAAAATCTGTCATGGGGGTCATGTTGGGAGGAGAGAGAAAATTCCTGGTTCGTTTCTTGTGCTTTCTCTTGGCATACGCCGCTCCGGCCTGGCCGCTGCGATGTTCTTCTCCTGCAACTGCCCGCGCTGCGAGCTTCCCCGCAAGCGGCCTCGCCGTTGGCAGCGCCCTGTCACGGCGCTGTGTACCGAGGAGCCCCGCAGCGGCAGCGTTGCAGCAGGTACGGGCGGCGCCGAGGCTGCCACCGCACCCATCTACGTGCTCGAGCGGCTCGCTCACATCCGTTGCGCGCAGCTGACTCTGGCGTCCCCGCCGGGATGGCCCCCCATCGCGAGCGCGCGCGCGAGCGTTTCCGGCAGCGTCGTGACGACGGAGTGCGACTTGCAGTGCGGCTCCCTCTTTGGCGGCCGCAGGCTGGTGCTGCGACTCGACATCGGGGAGCTGCTCGGCGCGCCCGCCGATGGCGCTTCGATTCGGACGAGAGACGGCGTGGCGCACATCCGTCTCGCGCTGCAGCCGCCGCCGCCTGTGCTTCTGCCGTCTGTGAGCTCGCGCGGGGCAGAAGCGATGCGGAGGGAGGAGGCTGGCGATGGGTGTCTGCCGGAGAAACAGCTGCTCCACGAGCAGCGCGAGGAGCGGCTCCCTCGCGAGGAGTCGGGCTTATGCCGCCGCGCCGCCGCGCAGCGGCGGCGCGAGCGGCGCGAACTGCCTGGTGCGGAGGTGCACTGCCGCAGCTGCCGCGCCCGCCTGCTGCAGCTGCCGCCCACCGTGCACGCGATGCCAGATGTGGACGCAGCGAGCATGGTGGACTTTGCGCAGTGCTGCCAGGAGATCGACTTCGATTGGGGCTGCGTCTTCCCGGAGGCCGGCGGCGCGGCGGCCGAGGCCTCGGGCGGGCACGGCAACTGGCGTCGCGACGCAGAGGCCGAGGCGGCGCTGCCGATTTGCTTCACGTCTGACCACGCGCTGCACCTGCGCCGCGCGCCTCCCGCCTCCCTCGAGCTGTGTGGCGGCGGCGGCGGCGGCGGCGGCGGCGGCGGCGGCGGCGGCGGCGGCGGCGGCGGCGGGCTGCGCCCGTTCGTGCCGCCGCGACACGTCCACAGCCGCGCCACGGAAGGCACGGGCGCCCCGGCGCGAGGGTG